AAGTATTTAACTACACAAAAAATAATTTTGAAGCCATCTGTTCAGGACAGAAAGTAACTATATTTTCACAGTAAATAGTATTGACCTTCTTCCTCTTCGTGTGCATCTGTATGTACTACTGAATACGGTAAAAAATACAAGTATTAGAAGATGAATTCCACGCCTGCTATTCCTTATTATACATGGTATCTACAATGTAAAAATTTAGTATATCAAATCGACACGTAACATTTATTCAGTTATTGTAACGTTAATAACTGATTTCTAATATTGCCTTCCGAATTAGGGGTTACATCAGAGTAGTCAGTAAATATTGTAACCATGGTGATATTTTTTTATTTGTAATTAAACAATCAGAAGTTGATTAGACTGCCATAAAACTGATACTGAATTTTCACAGGATATAAGATAATCAATATTATTATTATTATGAAACAGAAAGATAATTATAAGAAAAAATATTTAAGTAAAAAGCTGGTCTATAATTGTATAGAAACGTTAACCACTGAAATTCTGTTAAATGAAGCTAATACTCTAAGAACTGTTGAAACTGTGTTGCTAATTAATAATTTAAAAAAAATTACTTGTAGATAAATTCACATGAAACGTGATAAAGAGAAATAACTAGAAATTCTTTCGATTGTTTTCTAAACGTTTTAACAAAAATTGTTATTTAAAGCTAATCATACCATCTCAAGTGCGTCCGTGGCATAGCGGGTAAGACGCTCGCCGACCATGCACATGCTTCGGGGTTCAATCCGCGGCGGACGCACTCATTTACCCCGCTAAGCCAGAAATAATGCTGGTGAAGAGGAAAGGTTGGGCATGAGGCTAGCAACCTCATCCTGTAAAACAAACACTGCTTCAGAAACTTCAAACCACTAGCTTGAAGCCCTATGTTCCACTGAGGAGAGTGAAGGAAAAAAATACCATCTCAAAGTTTCTTACTTGATCGTGACTAGCAATGGAACTCAGGACTCATGTTTCGGCCTACGTTAGACTCGTCAGCTGTAGATATCTGCATCCTCAATGGGTGATGTTATTTTCATTGACAAGTAATTTTGAGTTAGTAGTCAGGGTAATACCAAAACGATCCATTCAAGTGGTCGACATGCCAAAATAAAACTGATGACATAAATTATAATTATATTTCAATAGTTTACATACAATGATAAGTTATTTGTTATGGTAATACTTGATCGATTTGGCCCTTACAAATGAGTCACCATTAACGAGAAAATATCTAAAGGAAATCAACTCTTTCACTTATTTAGGTAGCGTTTTATCAACTGCAGGCAAGTGGAACGGATTAGAATGTCAGAGCTAGCCAGTTTGGGGAAAGGAAGATAAACTTTCATTATTCTGAAGTGTGGAAATCTACTCCATTCAGTGTAAAGAACAAGATCCGGATCTTTAACACTGATGTCAATTCACTACTTCTATGTGATTGAGACACTTGGTACATACCTCCCGAAAAACATTTTCGAAAGACTGCTGCAAACTTTCAGCAGTACTTGCCTTTGCTTGCTATTGAAGATTATATGGTCCAGAGGCCTAGGCAACAAAGCAACCAAGATCCTATCACCAAGAAATATTCAGAAGTATATGGATATGAATTAGACATACGCTGAGGAGACCACTGAATTACATCATGCACCAGACTGGCCCTTGAGCGGGACCCAAATAGGAGTCGACAAGTTAGACTTTCTAGGGTGGCACGGAAAAAATCCCATAAGGAGGAAAGGAAAGCTAAAAAGAACTGTAGAGAACAGGATAAAATGAAGGTGTGCTGTTGAAGCCTTGTGATCAACTTAGAATCCAAGGGAACAATAACATTGTAACAATACCAGCAAGAAATCACAATTATGAACAGACAGTACTTTATGTTATCATGCTTTCAGTGTTTAGATAATGGCATTGTTACGCTTTACAAATGTGTTTTAACCATTTAATTATTTACGTATTCTATATCTATTTAGATCTTTTCCTTATCTCTGATGGATTCAAGGTGATTGCGATTGCGGAATTGGATAAAATAGTTTCATCGATTAACAAAATAACATATTTAGCCTCACTATTGATACCAATACATTAAGAAATAGACTTCTTGTGGAATTATTGCTTTCAGTGTTACCTCAAAATATTTACGTGAATAGAAAGAAAGCTAAATTGAAAAGATAGGCATGATTTAGCCGCTAAGATAAGGAAAGTGTCTATACTATCTCGGAATTTCTTCATACCATGCAAACCATATAGTTAGAGAAAATGAAAGAGAATACACCTGATACACGCGCAAAAAATGTCAAGAAGTTTATATTTTGCATTTCTGAAAAGTCGTGTGAATATTTATACTGTCTCGATTCACTGAGATAACTATTAGACGCTTAAAGCCGACATTTTTATCCTTAGCATACATTTGCATGCCCAGAGTGTGTGAAAAATCCATAAATCTGTTCACCGATTTTTGTTTCAGTCAGTTTATTATCAGACAGATCATGTGGAGATATTTAGCTTTAATTATTTTTGTGAGTTTTAATAATAATTTAGTCTCAGAGTAGTTTCTGTCAAAGGACGACATCAAATACAGAATGTTTACTGTACAACTATTCCATTCCAGTCTCAAACTGCTTATTCATTTGAATCTGCGGTAGATATAAGGATTTTTTTATTCCTTTACTTTGCCAGTGGAACATAAGGCTTCAAGCTAAAAGCTTGAAGTTTCGGCAGCAGTGGTGTTTATTTTTATGGGGTAAGGTTGCTAGGCTCATGCCCAGTCTCTCCTCTTTACCAGTATTATTACTGGCTTAACGAGGAGAAGGAGTGCGTCAGCCGGGTATCGAACCCCGGACCACATGTGTGGTTGGCGAGCGTTCCGCCACTGTGTAAGCTGGAATCAGAACCACTGAGCCATGGGTTTCAACTCCCAGTGAGGTCTGAATCTAATATAAAGGATTTTTGGGAGAATTGATAGGTCGTATTTTAAGCCTGAAAAGCAGAATTCACTATCCATACAATAAAGATCTTGGTAACGTTAAGTTGACAGAGGGATATGGTTCTTAAAATAGGGTCATTTTTAACTGGTAAATTGGTTAAAATAAAAATTCTTTTAAAATAACCAGACAAAGTTGGTAAATTATGCAATCATACACATTTTTGACAGTGGGATTATCAGAGGTAGTTTCAGTATGCTGCTAGCTTTTTGTAACCAGAGGAGATAGTACACTTGAATCCATATAACTGGATCCATAAGGCATGCTGAAATGGTTAAGCAGATGCGGTAATTAATTTATTTCCTTTTTTAAACTTATTCACATAGAGGTCTGTCATAACGTTAGTCAATTTTTAATCCGGAAAACTTAATTTATATATGGAGATTCACTATTCACTGGAAATATTTTACTCTAATAGTTTCTAAATAATTTATTCAAATTAAACAGGCAATACTTAACAAAAGGAAGAAGATCCGAATTTGTACAACTAATGTCAAGCCAAAACTTCTATATGGTTGAGAGGCTTACTACATATGTCAGCAAAGCATTTTCAATAGTCTGTTGCATACTTTAATCAACACCTACCCTCTCTGGGTCGATATTAGAAATCAGATGACTGGCCGATCAGAAAGGGTAAGCAGGAAAGATTTTTGGCAACGAACCAGCCAAGAACTTATTACCCAACAATTATCCTCATGGAGTTGGAGTTGAGTTGAACGTACAATGGGGATACCTTCAAGGATATTTTGACCCTTAACCTGTATGAGAAGTGACGATTTAGGTGTCCAACGGTGACAAGTAAGGGAGCATATGAAGAGGAAATGAAAACTTGTGAACAATCAGAGAGCCAGTTTAAAGTAATGGCAGAGAACCGACTGGAATGGTGAGATGTTCCGCTGAAATTGTACGTTCCTCTTGGTAAGCAAGGAATGAGTAATACTAATAATGAACAGAATTAAGAACATTTTTAAGAATAACTGCTGTACGAAATGGCATTTAAACAAACATTTACATCCAAATGCAACGGAATTTAAAATTCAATTTAAATGGGTCCTCATATGAAATTTCTAATCCACAAACAGTGAAGTGTAACATTTATTTGTCTAAAGTATATACGTTCATCCATTTCTGTTGAAATCCTGAATATTCTCACTGATCTTTAAATTATTCGCTCTCCAACATGTTGTTATCTGTTCTAGAATCATCATACTTTTGAGTGTGATAAACTGAAAACACGCACTTCTGCATGAAGTTTGGTCAAATTATGCTGTTATCATTGTTATTGCCTTGGGTTCTTTGTGGAACATTGTAGTGATGACCAAGGTTATACATCCTTTTACGGTTTTCTTCTCTAATGCATACGCCACTGGTCGTATATGCATCCTTTTATGGACATCTACCACATCTACCTCACTGGCCATGTATGTATGCACATATGTAAATAAACTGTGGCTAATACTGAGATATACTTCCATCTCAAGTCGTTGTGTTCTCGCTTCAGTTGTGCGGGCTGGAGAAACGGGTAGTTGACGTACAATGTCGCTAGCGTTAGACCAGCGATTGGGTGATCATCACAGCCGTGTCCAGGTAAGCATCCCTTATCTCAACTCATCGTACTGCAAATATGAAATTGGCTACATCATAACAAATATATAGCTTCAACAGCGTGCCTCCACTTCATCCTGTCTTCTGCAAAAGTGTTTAGTTAGCTTTACGATTTCCAGAAGCTTTAATTTCCTCCTTATAGGGTATCCTCCATGTCACCCTGGAAAGTCCAGCTCGTCGTTTCCCAATCGAGTCCCACTCGACGGTTAGCCTGGTGAGTGATAATACTCAACGATATCCTCAGCTTGTGTCGGATCCACCTCCATTTCCTCTACTTTACTCATTAGCCCCAACTGTCCACCAATATCTGTGAAATAAATTGATATCTATGAGTAAGTTTATATTGTCCTTCAGTTTTTCTATATACAAAAATATAATTAATGACGTCAGTTGTAAAAAAATTACCTTTTTTCGGTGAATTACTGCTATCAGCCTTTTTCCCTTTGCTAGTAGTTTTTTCATCCTTTGAACCATCTGCTGTTTCCTGATAAGATAAATGAAATATTATTTTGAGTGTGTATACATGTAAGTCGCTCTTCTTTTTCAAGAAAAAAAGTAATAAAAAGTAAAGATTGGAACGGAAAAAAATGTTTTACGTCAGAATAATTTTAAATGTTTAAGTCTTATTGCGGCATGAAGCAATCAAAAATGTTTATATTAAATTAACTGCTCAATATTACAAAACCCCTTGTTCATCAGTCAGTTGATTGATTGGTTCAGTCGATGGAAATGAAATCTGATGAATGCTTACCAGCTTATTAACAATCATTTACTAAATGACTGAATGCTTTACTGAAAGATGCAACATAAAAAATTAGGACTAGGATGGAGCTGACAATTTTCAGTATGCATCACTGAGTACTGAATTTGAAACCCTCTCCATCTACCTCAGCCTTGTCAAGTAGGCAATATCATAAGCCCCCATACTGTGTGATTCACAGACAGATGCATTCAAAATCTATTCAGGGTGACTAACATGTCAAGGGAAAAGTAAGTTATTTAACTGAGACCCTTGATATGTTCACCTCATTATTTATTTACGATTCTAGTGGAACATGTGACTTCAAGATTTGAATTTTTAGTAGCTGTGGTGTGGTTTCTACCAGATAAAGTTTCTAGCCTCAGTACAAACCTTCCCTCTTTTATTTTCGATCAGAAAACCATGGGTGTGGATCGGGTCCCAGTGGCTTAATGGTATACGAGCTCGCCTTGTAACCAGAAGGTTCTGGGTTCGAATCCCGGTGAATGCGTACTGATGAAGAGTTCCAAACTGGGGCGAAACAGCTGTCCAGTACTCCCATGTTTTCCAATGGTTCTCTAACTAATGTCAGCTCATGATGAAAATCCTGTAACCAATCATATCCCTACAAACCAACACTTGAATATTTAATGGGTGTGTCGGTCTGAAATTGAACCTGAACAACTTGGGTGATTAGTGAGCATTCTACCAATGAACTAACACTGAAAAATTGCCAACGAAATGATTTCAGCTTGAACTCAATAATGCCAATTTATTCATTTATTATCATAATTAAGATAATTAAGATAATCCACTAATCTTCATTTATTTGTTATTTCGTTTTTCGCCTAAATAAAGCTTTCTTCCACACTAAAAACTCACTAATTTTCTAAATTTCTTTCTCTTATATATATACTTTTGTTAATCGGATCAGGAAACACTTTTGTCAGTTGCTTACGCTAACTGGTTTAATCTTGCCCTATTTTTGAGCTTAAATCCTTTGTTGGATTAAGATAAGATAACACCACACAATGACGAAGAAAAAATAAGATCTGAAACAAGTAACAATTGTGAGTAAATAGTTGTATTTAATGAATTCATAAATTTCGTTAAGTCGTATTAACTAAATGTTCTACAAACGTTATCATTTATACTATTTTTTAAGGTTAACATAGACAGATATATACAGAAAAGAGAATGGTTATTGGCCAAATGAATAATAGACTGAAAAGTACACATTAACATATAAAATGGTCTTTCAATGATACATATATTAAGAATTTCTGAACAACTAGACTTTAAAATATTTTGAATCAAAGCAAAACATTTTTTTCCACCTTAACATGTGTGAGCCAAATTTGACTGTGACAAACAAGTTCAGTAACTATATTATTATGACGATCAAAAGCTTTATATTCAAGCGTTGGTTTGCAGGGATGTGATTTGACTGGCTACAGGATTTCATCATGAGCTGATATCGGTTAGAGAACCATTGGAAAACCTGAGAGTAGTGGACAGCCGTTTCGTCCTAGTCTGAGATTTTTATGCAGTACGCCCACACCGGAGTTCGAACCCAGGACCTTCTAGTTGCAAGGCAGGCTCGTAGACCATTAAACCACAGGGACCTTATCCAATGGCCTATCCATGTATTCCAACTTCTGACAATTCACGATATGGCGCGACCACTAGCGAATGTCATAGCTGGCCAGCATATGTCCTCACACCCAACCTGGTATACCCCAGTGGTCACGACTTCACACTAGAACCCAGGTAACTACCTACCTGAATACGATCAGTCGCAAGGGAGCATCAGAATGATATTCAAGTGTCAGTTTGCAGGGATTCGATTGGTTTCAGTATTTGATCACATGACCTGACATCAGTTAGAGAACCCAGATTTTCCAATGGTTCTCTAACCAATGTCAGTTCATGTGGTGAAATCCAAAAAAACTTCATAGTAGTCAATAAGTCAAGCAGCGAGAAACTACTTGGGTTCGCCGAAACCGAATCATCGTCTATATAAAGATATGTGTGTCGGTGGTACAGCGGTAGAATGCTGGCCAACCATGCAGCTTGTCCGGGGTTCGATACCCAGTTGATTCACTCCTTTACATTAGATTGAGAAGAATAAGAAGTTCAGCAAAGATATCTTTTCGGCGATTTCATTTTCAAAAGCTGTACAATCGCATTTAAATACATAATTTTACATGGAGACAATTCTTGTTTGATTCTACATAATTATGACAGCGAATAAAAGGTGATAATTATTTCCAACTAGATATGGTTATACGAGAGGCTTAGAAACAAAAATTACGCAGGATTAGAACGGATATCAAGTGTGTAAAAATGAGCATGGATACAAAATTGAAATAATAATTTTCAACTTGAGATGGGAATCAGGAGGTGCGAATATAGATTACAAGAGCCTTAGAAACAAAATTACATGGAATTTAGCAAATTACAGGTGTGCAGAAAGTGAGCATGGAAACAAAATTGATATAATAGTTTTAACTTAAAATGGAAGCTAAACCAGTAATAAGACTGATAAAGAGGAAAGATTGGGCATGAGGCTAGCAACCCTCTAGCTTGAAGCTCTATGTTCCACTGATAACGTAAAGGAATAAAAAAATAAGAGAAAATTCAATTTAATTAAGGCTTCTTCAAAGCCTTGTTATAGTGGTCAAATTTGATTCACATATGTTAAGTAGAAAAAAGTTTCAATATCTTTAAGTCTAAAAGTCCATAATTTTTATTATTTCTACTACAACAAATTTATTGAATATGTTAATATGTACTTTTATGAATATTATTTATTTCTTCCTAATTACATTAACAAATTCACCAAACACTAATTATCGAACATATACTTTGTTGCACATGTTATTTATCTGTTGTCATCCTGTCCAAATGTTTGTAGGTTAACCTAATAGATTCATATAAATAATCGTATCTGTAGAGTATTCAACTGACTAGTCCTACAGAGAGTTATGAATTCCACTAAATCAGGTAAATGAACAGTTACTCGCCAATGAACCTAGCTGACGGTTTCCCTTTATATCGGCAAACTGGCAACAACTGGAACACACAGGTGACTGGAACGGGTCCCAGTGGCTGGACTATGAGCTAGCCTTGCAAGTGGAAGTTCCCATGTTCGAACCGTACTGTTAAAGAATCCCAAACGAAAACAAAGCAGTTTTACATTAACTGCCTGGTTTTCCAACGGTTGTTTAACTGATTTCAGCTCGTGACCAACCTTACAGCCAATCAAACTCCCGCTATCCAACACTTGAAAATCTATCAAATATTTCCATTTTTCTTAATTGTTGCTTGAGCGAGAATGAATTTTCTCAATTAAATGAAGTTAACTGCTAAACAGTGGTTTGCATCAGATCCTGATATTTCAATTTGTAGAAAGCTTTGACTTATTCTGTTCAGCATTTATTATCAAATCAATATCTAAAATATTGTATTAACTACGTCATTCATATTAGAGATCACATAAATTACCAGAAAGTGCCACACATCCTCTGTTGTGAATACATCACACATCTAGTAATAATCAGCGTAGTTTTGTGATCTTAATCGTTGCTGAAAGTCAGTCGACTAAGTTGGCATTGTGATTGCAAACACAGATGTGGAGAAATGACTGTAGAATACCATACTCCTTTTATTAAAAAAATACAAATAACATGTTTTCGTGACCAGTATTTCGCGAAAAAAAAATTATAAAATGTTCACCGACAAGCAAAGGAATCCAGGTTATATATAACACCGTCTCTTGACTTTGTGTTAGATATACAGTGAAACGGTAATCTATTATAGGACCTATGCAAAACAACTCCTTAATATGTGATAGCCTTGTGAGCTTGTTTTACTGGTTTTTTCTAGTACTACGGTGTAAGTTCTTAAGTATGTTAGACAAATTGTCATATATATGTATCTTAAAAATCACTTTTCGCAGCTGAACCGAATTTGATTGATATTTTTTTGATTTCATTGTACTTATGCTTACACGTATCGCAAAAATGAAACGGCTCTTAAAATATTTACGGACTGGTTGTCATTGATGTCTGATTAAACTCCTGTATTCTTGAACAACACTTCTGAACCTGAAAAAATATTTCTATGCAATTTCCTTGTGATTTCAGCCACTAATTTAGACACTTATGTTAAACAAAACTGATTTTAAAATGTGCAGCAACCATATCGTTAGACGTATGTCATTCAGTAGTATATTAATAATTTTATCAAACAGTCAATCACGTTAAACTAAGCTTACAATAGTCAATGACAAACTCAATCATTCATGAAATCACACATTTGTGATGTCTACCTTGATAGTTAATCGTCTAACAATCAGAATTACATCCCGAAGTAATTATCATGCATAAGGAAATAGTAACATATTTACTCAACCTTGAAAAAGAAACAGTTTTTTATCTTTGATTCATGAAAAATCCCCATTCGAACAATAACAGGGAGAAAACCAGTAGTTCAGCGAAGAGTCTCTGGTCGGCGGCAAATTCATTTTCACATCTGTTCAGTAGCATATATATACATATAGTTATTTTGTATGTGCGTGTACATTAAATTTGTCATACGAAAATATAATTAGTAAGTTTTTGGTAGAGTTACGTAATTAAGAAAGCGTTCTGAGGAACTGGATGTTGATATAAGAGGGTAGTAACAAAAGTGATGAGTTGTCAAAAACTATTGTTAAAGAAGAGTTACGTAATAACATAAATACTTTGGTGAAAGAGTTGTGCACAGGATTTACATAAACACAAAACAAAATACGAAATTATGTAGGAGTTTTAATTAGTTAGAATAAACAAGCAAACAAGCAAAAGTTAAGTCAAATCAACAGAGTTGTTACCATAGTAGTAGAAGTGGCTGAATAATTTTCTTTTGTATGAGTAGTTCTAGTTCATTTAACTGAATGCCTAGGGCTTCTGCAATGTAAAGAAGACGGAAACCTGTTGTCTTTGGCAGGTTGTTCTTCACTTTGTGGACCTCTCTGAAGGAGGCGTTTGTTGAGACGGAATGATCACTACTACATTTCCGTAACCATGTGGGATAATGTTCTTGAACCCTTTTGGACAGGATACGCTTCGAACAACCAATATACAGAATTCCATAGCAAAAGGTGAACTGATGTGAACACATGGAAGTGGCCAGGTGCGAGATCTTGTCTTTCGGACTTTCACAGATCAGCGAGCAACTGGAGAACACTATTCACAGTATTGCTTTGAGGAAAGTTCTTCTTAGAGCAATGGAAATTCTCCTCTTTATGACATCACTGAGTAGGTCACGTTTGAAGTTGAGGTTCATATAAAGTATCTTAGTTTGGCACGGATGGCGTCTCTCGTCTTCGGATTTTCTGTTTGATGTTTTTGTCCATGAATCTTGGTGGATATCCGTTTTGCATGAATATTTCTCTCAGGAAGTGTAATTCTTCTTCCAGGGTTTCAAAGCTGCAGATGTGTCGGACGCGAGTAGCGAGAGATCTAATTAGGTTTCTTTTTCAACTGATTGGTACTTATCTGTAGAAGCTTTATCTCTGAGTAGTTTTTTTCAAAACAAGTTTTATTTCAAATAATACACCCAAAAATTATATCATTTGAGTTAGCAGTAGTAAATTTTTAGATTTAAGCTTCAAGTCTCTTGAGATGAAAAAATATATCATGACATACATAAAACTATGAAAAAGAAAAATTATTATTTAATTTGCGTATCAGAAAAATTTCTACGTAAAGTATAAATGGCTCCGAGATTTAAACATCTCTTAGTAACAATAAATAACTAGATCAGTAGAAAATACTGTACAGACACCAGCTAGTTTATCCTCCTAGTTCCAAGTGGAACATATGGCTTCAACAACGCACCTCAACTTCTTTCTATTTTCTGCTTTCTTCTTCAACTGGGCACCCAACTGCCCATAATCTCTCACCTCCACCCCCAGTTAATCTCCTCCATGTCACCCTCAAAACAACGCCCAAATCGTCGTTCTCCATTCAGATTTCACTCAAACTATGGCCTGCATTGAGCGTGATATTATCCGACGGTTTACTCACTGTGTTTGCCCAATTCACCTCCATTCTCCTCTGCATATTTGGTGAGCAATCAGATCTTGGTTGGTTCGTTCCACTGCAAAGTTTCTTGTTGCTAATTCTTTCAGGCCAGCCGGCCAGCCATTTGATCTTCACTATGGAGCCAGCGAAGTCAGTTGTTGATGAAAGTTTGCAACCTGTTGAAGATCCTTTTCGTGACGCGCAATGCAAGTTTCTGACATATAACTAAGAACTAACTGATTCAAAATTTGTGTTGAAAATCTGAATCCTGCTACTTATGCTGATGCGGAGTGAATCTCTTCCGTTGATGGTAATGAGCGCACTACTACACTATGCGACATAATACGAAACAAAGTGGATTAAAGACCCTGTCTTTTAAGACAATCATTGTATTAATAGAATAATGACACAGTTTAGTCAACCAGTACGTTTTACAACCTATCCTGTATATTTAAGAGTTCATCACATCTTAGACTCAAGTGGAAACAGCACTATTCAAAGTAGCTCAACATTTTGTGAAATTTACAATTTCACAATAAATGGAAAAGCTGTTTTAAAGGTAATAGAAAATTTAAATTGTGAAAACTGAAAATATTTCAAATTCCCAGGGCTGACTATCACTGAAAAAACATTAGTGAAATAACGTATACTTCTCCATGTAACTAATTTAGATAAACGATTAGAGATTTTAAAATGTAGTATAATATCCTGATTTGACCTCCTCTGAATTTCTTTTACCTTATTCCTAATTCAGCTAATGTCTCTCACTAAAGAATTAAGTGACCTGGAATAAACAAAATACCATTCAGCTAGTTGACTTACTTCCGCTACTTAACTTACACTACACACCTACAGGAATAATCAGACATTGGTGAATCTACCTTAGTTGGCCTCTGCAGCCTAAGAAATCCACCTGTAGTCAAAAGTAGTAAAACTAAGGTCCTCGACAGAGTCACAATGAAAACTGTTCATAATTTCAAATATTAGTAACCAGATCCTAAGTAACTGAAACACTGTAAAACAAAGAAGAAAGCTGTTTTTAAAGAAACACACTCAACTAGGTTACAACTAACGATATTGTCGACTAAAACAAATGTTCAGAATCGACAAGATTGTCGAAACAAGAAAAATAGCTTGTTCTTAATATCTACCAGTATATCCCAATCTTTAAAAAAGAATCTTAAAAGTTATTTATTTAAAAATTCCCATTGAGATAGTTTTAGAACAAGATTTAAGCAAGCAAATATGTATTTTCGATAAATTCTCATTAGGCTTTACAATTACATAATAAAATATCAGTCAGAAACATTTGAAGCAATGTGAACCAATACAAGCAAATATTATCGAGGAGATTGTAAGTAGAATAATTATAATAAACTATGAAACTAAGATTAAATTAGGCCTACAAACGAAATCTCATCAGTATCCCGATGTTTTGTGACAGAAAAATCTTCACGACCAGCACTCTCGACAATGAAATAGGCAAAATAAGAAACCTTTTATGTGAGAACTGATACCTAGACAAATTTGTTAAAGTCTCTATGATGATAACAGATAGAGATGAATGCTTGCAAACTGTGCACAAGAAACGTATGTGTATGACTTTATTGTCCAAAGGAGACACAGCCACTGAATTACTGGTATTAACACTCCAAAAATAATAGTTAAAACATATTTGCCGCAACACTACATCTAAAATTCACCACTTGTTGTATATTTTCAATACACGTGAAGGATAAGCTACCGAGTCTGACCGCCTCAATGTGTATTTCTAAATTTAACTGTCCTTTTGGGGACAGTCAGATAGATACACCGACTCGAAAGCCTCACCGGTACCTTCATGAGCAATGTCCAACATGGTTCGATAAAAGAGTTGTAAAGACATTCAGAAGTTGCATATTGGCATACCATGTGGATACAGATCATACAGTTGATAAAAACTATGTCTTTAAAATGCTCCACAAGGTTGCGCCTCAATTTCCTCAGTTTTACGCCTTCGATTGCAAAGCATATCTGAGGCAGTTGTCGTAAAACATTTTCAGGCTAATCTTCGTGTTCAGAAGACTTTTTTTCAATCCCTCTCCCTCCCATAGCTTTCAACCGGGACTTGGAATAGTTATCCCGGTGACACTGCATAACTGTATATATTATTATTTATACCGCTAACTTTATTATTAATATAATACTGTGCTATAGTTACATATTTTAGCCTTACTTTCACAGTTTATTATTATTGTTCTACTTACATTTTCCTCCATTATAATATTTGATTCTACTGGTCCACATTGTTTCAAATGTCTACGAATGATATTCTATTATGTAATCATAAAACCTGTTGAGAATATGCTGAAAACATGTATTTGCTTGCCTAAATCGTGCTCAGAGGTATTTGTTTGTTCAAAATCTCCAGGAAAAAAAATTAAATTAAAACGAAAGTCCCTAACTTACCTTAACGTTACGACCTCGAACGGATCTTTCTCGCTTTCTTGTACCACCGGTCCCTTGGGTAGTCTCTTTAGAAGAATCTCTTACGCCAGCAGAATATTTCGATTTGCGACGTCCAGATACACTCTAGTATATGGAGGAATGTTTGTCAAGGAGAAAAGAAGACAAGACTGTTGAGTAATTTCTTCCAAGAAACACAATATTTGCTTGTTGATTGATAAAACAGGGTTGTTTATAAAATGGGAATGTAATAATCTCTAGTTACCTACAAAATAGTATACAGGTGCTTTTCTTTGCTATGGTGTTCTTCACGAATAGTAGTAGTAATAAGAAGGTTTTGGCTCACTCTAATTTAAACACCATGTTTGACTCTACATATACCATTGTTGGTTAGTAATTAATGAAACAGAGTCTAATGAGTGTTATTTTTGAATACTACTCAACCTTCCATTTCATAATTAATGCTCTAAAGTTAAATAAAAGGACTGATTATCATTGACCTTCTTTTTTTAATTTTCAAGTATTAGTTTGGTAGGGATTTTGTTTAATTGCATGGAAGATTTCATCATGAGCTGACATCAGTTAGAGAACCACTGCAAAACCAACTGGGAGTACTGGAAAGCTCTTTCGTCCTAGTTTGGGACTCATCATCAGTACGCACCCACCAGGATTCGAACCCAGGACCTTCTGGTTACAAGGCGAGCTCGTAGACCATTGAGCCACTGGGACCCGATCCAATGGTCCTTGAATTCTAACTTCTGCCAATTCACGACATAGTGCGACCATTTCGCAATGTCTTCTTAGATGAGTTACTGCCTCATCTTCAACCTGCTGTATCCTACTGGTCATGGCTTCCCACTAGAACCCTAGGTTAACTGCCTGAATACGGCCAGTCACTAGTGAGCATCAGATTAATTTTCAAGTATTGGTTTGGTAGGGATTTCGTTTAACTGCATGGAGGATTTCATCATGAGCTCGTAAATTTGCCAGATTGTATTTAATACTTTATTAAAATTAGTTTTATTTGACAGTCAAACCACTAATGTTCAGATATTCATTGACTTAAGTGGGACCTGAATGACTTCAAAGTAGGTTTCATAACTAACCCACGTCATCTTCATAACTACTAATAACCATGGTGCATTTGTCTGTTTAGAAGTACATTCCAGTCAGACCACACGAAAGTGAGCCAAGATCCATCAGGCTGTGATTATTTAAACTTCTAAGTTGGGATCGAAAACCTGTAAATTGTGAGTTCAGTTCGTAACTGTGGACTACAGATTAATGTACACTACTACAGAATTCCAAATCAAGACAAAACAGACTTCTGGCGCCAAATTAAACTTTAAACACCACTAACTACCAATCAGCGAATGACCTTGAATGGCCCAATGAGTTTCATCCACGTGAGTTGAAGGTTCTGTTCCGCTTGATTTGAGTCAAATGTCAGGGAAAGTATACTGATGATTCTAATATTTCGTAGGAACATTTTTCGCTTGGTCCCACTTGTCCTTAACCCAGATTTTGTATATTTGTAGTTACTCGGTTTTAAAACAGCCTGTGACAGGTTTAGCTGCTGAAACAGAGAAAATAGTCTCGCACCAACGGTTCAGTGGTATCAGCACTGCAGGAAATCGCGTCATGGAGAATGGAGAGAATTACCTCGTTATTAAGAGGAGAAAATGTTGTCGTGGACGTGGATCAGTGGAAAGGTTATAACTACCTGTCATCCGTTGGATCTATTCATCACAGAGTGAACCATTCTGATGATTTTGTGGATCTCACTACAGAGACACACATTTCTATAGAAGGCTTTTGAGAAAGGTTAAAAACAGGATTAAGGACATTAACGGATCTCAAAAGCATGTCATTTAAAGTCATTTAGATGAATATATGTATGGAATGTGGTGTAACTTTCCATCTCATCTCGGGGGGGGGGTGTTTTTACCACATATCTGAGAAAGGTTTCCTGTGAAACATTTTTATGCAGTTTTATGCATTTTTTCATAAATATATGTCTCCCATAACCAAAAATGCCTCCTTCATGTGATTGGTACGTACAAGGTCATTCGCTGATGTTTAGTAGTTAGTGGTGCTTAATGTTTGACTTTGCCACTTCCGGTCTTATCTAATTTCTAAAAATCCTTGAAATGACACTAGTAACCATGTTTATGAAGTTGCATAAGTTATAATAAGAATAATAGAACTATATTTCAAGCAATAGGTGAACAAATAGCACGGAAATATTCAGCGTATTTAGTTCCAGAATATTTCACACAGGATTTACATGTAAAGTAATAATCTGCAGTATATCATGTGACGTAATGTTGTACATGAATACAGAAGCGATTCTGTTTTCCTCATTTTCCTCAAGAACTGCACAGTATTTTGTTGAAATCTAATTAATTATGTGCATGAGTTCATGTAGTGGTCATTCAATATAATTACATGATTAAAACAATAAGAAATTCAGGGGAGTTTAAGCATTTTGATGGATGGAAATGATTTAAACAAACCGCCAAAAGATCAAATAATCACCTGCACCTGTACTCATAGACTTGTAGGCAAATAGAATCGGTGCTCTCTCACAACAAAGAGATATAAAATGCAAATTTATGTAGCTTACACTTTCATAAATGAACTTCACACAAGATATAGGTAATATTCCTTCTTTTGTACTAATCCACATTTTTTAGACAATACTTGGAAATGTGTATGATTATTACTGTTAATAACAGATTGGTGATGCAATCAATGAAAATAATAGTACACTTAACGGGAATACAACATATTTCATAGGTGTGAATGAACTAATCAACATCTATGACTGATATACGTCTGTAAAGGACGAAAGCGTAGTGCCGATCACTATGTTTAATCGATTTTTCATTATATGTTAGGCTGCATTAAACTTCTTGAGAAAAAAGAAAGAAGAATAAATAAATCTAGAGAAGAAAAGCGCTGATTGCACAAGTCAATGAAACAAAAAAGTCCATATTACTGCAAGTCATTTAAATTGGATATCAAGAAAACTGAATTGTTTTATGCATTACAAGTGACTAACACTGGGGATACTGGGTAGGATATTAATGTAGCATTTTTAAACTACAATTCATTCACCAATTTCCCCAATATTCGCTGATCTTTTTATGAAGAGATTCGAAAATAACATATTTTCAAGTACACACACTCCTAAAATATGGTTAAGATATGCAGATGATACTTTTGTAGTGCTAAAACGAGATCTACACAGTTCATTCTTGGAGAAAATAAACAGTCTATCTCCCAGAATCCAGTTTACTTCGGAAGCAGAATCAGACGTCGGTGAACTACCATTTCTAGACTGCCTAGTTAAGAGGAGGGAAGATGGACATTGTAGTATATCTATATTCAGGAAGAAAACCCACTTCAATAAATATTTAGACTTCGGATCATCACACCCCATCAGCTCAAAGATATCAGTTGTTTCAAGTCTTCTTAGACGAGCACACTCTTTGATAAAGGATGAAAAAGAAAGAAAAAAGAAGAGAAATATCAAACATTACTAAAGCTCACAAGCAAAACAACTACCCAAAGAGCTTCATCAACAAAATCAACACTGACATTAGATATGGTCGAAAATGTATTCCGAAAACATGGACCTCAACAGTTGTCATTCCATATAGACCAGAAACGTCAGACAACGCCAGAAGAGTACTCAGTAAGCTCAACATCAGAGTTTTCTTCCAAACATTGGACACACTGCGAGACAACCTTGTCCATATAAAAGACCAAATCCCTAAAGATACTCTATCTAATTGTGTCTATAAAATAAAATGCTTGGAATGTGATGCGATATACATCGGACAAACATCTCGAGAAATCAAAATCAGAAGAAATGAACACCGTAGGGCATCTGTTTGGCCAGCAAGAAATCCAGCTGAACTAGAAAAGCTTTAAAAATCATCGGCCATAGGTCTACACGCCATAGAATCAGGCAACAAAATTGATTTTGACAATATTGAAATAATTCAGAAAAATTTCAGAAATCACAAAGAACGTCTAATATCAGAAGCACTTCATATCAAATGGGATCCAAATTGTCTGAATAGGAATGATGGACTAAAACAGAATTCCACCTGGTTACAACACAAGCTCCCCCATGAAGTGACAAAATCAACACGAATGTGATAAGCGAATTCACTATGTAAACACATACTGCTTTTCTAATTTTATACACTTATCGAATCCAACAATCTACACCTGGCTTTGTTATCTTTATCAGTTGGCCAATTTGACAACGCAAAAAAATAACTACATGCTGAGGAACGATGATTAAGTCGTTATATATAAGCTGAGATTTTGTAAATTCTGGTTTAATAATACCAAGATAAAACTATTAACATTAAACAGCGAAACGTTAATAAAAACAATGATATTGTTTTGTTTTTCATTCATTGGGAAATACAAAAAACCTTCATTATAATGAATATCATATACTCAATGCCCAAATTTTTTCAAACTGTTAAAAATGAATTTGGTTTGGACATATAGAACTCATTTTATTCAACTCAACCTGCAAGGAAGATGTGATAAATGTAACACAAGTGAAAGTAATTTTCAGGATATCAAACCATGTGAACCAAAGTAATACATATCATTAAAAGATTAACCGCCCTTTTCCTGTGTTATCCTTACACTTCCGTTTTAGACCAGCAAAAGTAATCACAGTCAACATGTGGATGTGGCATTTAGAAGGTTGAGTACATTCTGTAAATTAACTAAGGAATGTAGTGAGCCGACAATATATGCTACACCTTCTCAACGAAAACTGAGATATTGACTGAAACAAACTCAAGATATTTGCTCATTTATACAGACGAAAACAATAACCACAATAACGGAAACACTTTTATTTTGTAGTTGTCTTGACAACTGCTCATAACATTGGTTATCAAAGTAAATATTAAACACTGTGTAAAATTTGTATCGATTTCAGTTAGTTTATGATTAATCTTCATTATAATATACTTCCCTATGATTTAAACTGTTTGTTCACTTGTCTTTTAACCTTGCTACAGATATTTTATTAAGCTGTTTCTTACCGACACTAAGAGTAATAACACGAATTCTTGCACATTCTTGTT